ACTGAACGACTCACTTTAAAAGGTTGAACTGTATTCCTATTATATCTCAATAAGTCTTTTAAAAAAATAAACTGGGGGCATCTATTTGGTTCTTAGACGCTTATAAACTGTATTAAATCCCTCAAATTGTGGTCTGAGGACTCTTGGTGTGTTCCCCAGAGCTCTTCAGAGAGTCTGGAAGTCATGATTATTTTCGTAACAATCCTAAGGCATCTGCCTTCCTCACTATGTCGACATTTGTACTGGTGGCACGAACACGATGGAGGGGAAACTGCTGGTGCCCTGGGCATGAAGACACCACAGCAAAGCAGCAGTCACTGTGCGCTTCATCACCACTCACCACAGCAGGAAAAAAAAAAAAAAAAGCCTCTTCCACATAAGAATGTCCTCCATATAGCAGAAATAATGATTATTCATTTTATTCGGTCTTGGCCCTTGAGTACATAGCTATTTAGTATTATTGCAGTGAAATGCGAAGAAGATATAAGACAAAGTCTGAAAAGTCTGACTGTTCGAGTTGCGGGTTAAACTAGTCACTGTTGACAGTACGCCATTTTCACTTGAAACTGACAGTTCCTATGGGAAGATGCGCTCCCTTTTCCAAACTCACCCATGCCTCAACTTTTATAACACAAATGATTCATACAGTGGAGCCTATCAATTTCCATGAGAAAATGCATCTTAATCCTTTTTAAGACAACTTTTTAAGTATACCAATTAACTTTCTAGTCAGAGTTAGCAAGAAAGGCCTGCTGGTGGGTAGAGGAGAGAAAGAAGCAAAAGAGGTTAAAACTTAGCTTGAGAAACTATTTGCAGCCGGGTGTGGTGGCTCATGCCTGTAATCCCACCACTTTGGGACGCTCAGGCGGGCAGATCACGAGGTCAGGAGATCGAGACCATCGTGGCCAACATGGTGAAATCCCATGTCTACTAAAAATACAAAAATTAGCTGGGCATGGTGGCGTGTGCCTGTAGTCCCAGCTACTCGGGAGGCTGAGGCAGGAGAATTGCTTGAACCTGGGAGGTGGAGGTTGCAGTGAGCCAAGATTGCGCCACTGCACTCCAGCCTGGCGCCTGACACCAGAGTGAGACTCTGTCTCAAAAAAAGAAAGAAAGAAAGAAAGAAACTATTTGCATTGTGCCACTGCACTTCAGCCTGGGTAAGAGAGAGAGACCCTGTCTCAAAAACAAACCAACGACAACAACAACAAAACCCCCAAACAAGAAACTACTTGCCCTACCATGGTCACAGGCATTAACGTTTTATTACAATCTCACTGGGGCTTCCAAACAAAAGTAAATAAATAAATTTCATTACAGGATAAAAGTTTAATAAGTTTTAATATATAATTCAGGCTCGGCAGGGTGGCTCATGCCTGTAATCCAGCACATTGGTAGGCCGAGGCAGGTAGATCACTTGAGGTCAGAGACCAGCCTGACCAACATGGAGAAACCCCATCTCTACTAAAAATACAAAATTAGCTGGGCTTGGTGGTGCATGCCTGTACTCCCAGCTACTGGGGAGGCTGAGGCAAGAGAATAGCTTGAACCTGGGAGTTGGAGGTTGCAGTGAGCTGAGATCACACCATTACGCTCCAGCCTGGGCAACAAGAAACAGAAATTCCGTCTCAAAAAAAAAAAAAAAAAAAGTTATAATTCAAATAAAATAAGGCCTAAAGATTTATTTAGTTATTTAAAGGGAAGCAATTTAGAAATATATTGCTGACAATGATTTCGAAAATCCCAAGGACCAATCTAGAAAATTGATTGTGGGGAAAAAGATAATTCCAAAAAGATACTAGTTGTTCTAATAGTATAAGCAGTGTGGCTCTGCATGAGCAAATAAGTGATAAAATGTATCATGTGTATCCCGGATTCTACACAGAAGAACTAGACTGATCTGGTGGATTGAAGTATCTAAGTCACTAGAGTGTTCCAGGCGGTGGTGTGGAATAGGGAGAGTTCGTCAATTTATCTTTTCCATATTTGACAAAAACGTGCCTTCATTCTTATCCTATGTTCACAGCAATGTTCTGACCTGGTTTTTCATTTAGTTGATACTAAAAAGGAGAAGAACAGATTGCTGAGCTTAATGTTTTATTCACTGTAACCATAAAACCAGAGGTCCTGCCTGTCTCCTTAAGTGATGTCAGTCCCCAAGACCCCAATCCACATTAAGCAAACTGAGTAAAATAAAGTTTCTGACCTCTCAAAGCTGAAATTTCTCTGTAACTAGGTAATTTCAATACTCAGGTATTGAATTGAATACATTTTAGCTTAAAAATGTAGTAACTGGCTGGGTGTGGTGGCTCATGCCTGTAATCTCAGCACTTTGGGAGGCTGAGGCAGGCGGATCACTTGAGGTCAGGAGTTTGAGTCCAGCCTGCCAAACATGGCAAAACCCCGTCTCTGCTAAAAATACAAAAAGCAGCTGGGCGTGGTGGCGGGTGCTTGTAATCCCAGCTACTCAGAAGGCTGAGGGAGGAGAATCTCTTGAACCTGGTAGAGGCAGGGACAGCGGTTGCAGTGAGCCAAGATCACACCATTTCTCTCCAGCCCGGGCAACAAAGCAAGACTCAGTCTCAAAAAAAAAAAAAAAAAAAAAAAATTTTAATAACTAGCTGGGTGTGATGGCTCGCACCTGTAATCCCAGCACTTTCAGAGGCTGAGGCAGGCGGATCACTTGAGGTCAGGACTTTGAGACCAGCCTGGCCAACATGGCAAAACTGTGTCTCTACTGAAAAAAAAAAAAAAGCAGCACAACAATCAGATTAGCCGGGCCTGGTGGTGCACACCTGTGGTCAGAGCTACTTGGGAGGCTGAGGTGGAAGGAGCGGTTGAACAAGGCAGGCAGAGGTTACAATGAGCAGAAATGGTGCCACTGTACTCCAGCCTGGGCAACAGAGCAAGACCTGTCTCAAAAATAAAATAAAAATGTAGTAACTTGGCTGGGTATGGTGGATGACGTCCGTAAAGCCCAGCACTTTAGGAGGCCAAGGTGGGTGGATCACTTGAGGTCAGGAGTTCAAGAACAGCCTGGCAAACACGGCAAAATTCCATCTCTACTAAAAACACAAAAATTAGCCAGGTGTGGTGGTGCATGTCTGTAATCCCAGCTACTTAGGGGACTGAAACACTAGAATCTGGGAGGTAGAGATTGTAGTGAGCTGAGATCGTACCACTGCACCCCTGCCTGGGCAACAGAAAGAAATTCTGTCTCAAAAAAAAAAAAGGAATAATTTTATGAAGTTAAATTATAGCTCAATGAAGACAACATGGACTACAACTTAAATACAGACCATAATAGTAACAGTAATAATAAAGGTAACAGCTCATGCACAGGGTTTACTGTGCACCAGGCATTACCATTTGACACATTTTAACTGGAATCCTCATAACAACCTCACAGGCCGTTACTATAATACTCTTCCCTTAGCAAAGGAGCAAACTGAGGCAGAGGAGAATTAAGTAACTGGGCATGGTAGTGCATGCCTGTAATCCCAGCTACTCAGGAGGCTGAGGCATGAGAATCACTTGAGCCCAGGAGGTGGAGGTTGCTGAGCCAAGATGGCACTCCTGCACTCCAGCCTGGGCAACAGAGTGAGGCTCTGCCTCAAAAAGAAAAAAGAAAAGAAAAGAAAAACTACTTCTCGTGATGTAGTCTCTTGACATGCTAGTAACATTCTGTTTCTTATCTGGATGCCACTTACATAAGGAGCATGTTCACTATGAAAATTCATCAAGATGTATATTTTTGCTGTATGTGTCTCTACATCAATAGCAACCTCCCCATACACAGAACACTTGGCAAGATCTTTTAAAAATCATTAACTAATTTGTTCTTTGGAAAAAACCTTGTGAGATACATAAGACAGGTTCAAAAAAATTAAAAATTTGCTATGATAATCAAATCCTTATGAAGGATTTGATTTCAGATTTCCTCACTCCAAATCTAGCGCTCTTTTCAACTCAATTAGACTCAACTCAAAAGAACATCTGCAGAGTGCCAAATATGGCACAGTTTCTAGAAAGATTTATGAAGTATCTACTTTGCACAAAGCCCGAAGTCAGATGTCTTTCACCTGTCTCTCTACTTTCAGGGCCAGTACAGAAACATTTCTGATACAGTTGATCTCCATAAAAGTCAGCCTATCCCCACTCTGACCCATTCTCTACATTGCAATCAATAACTTTTCCTAATCCACCTTGATCCTCAATCATAGTAGTCAAAAACTGTCAACAACAAACTCTTCCTGACAAAAATACAGGCCAAACTTCCTCATCTGCCCTCCAGGTCTTCTGTAATCTGATCCCAGCTCATTTACTGTCCTCCATTTACCAAGAAAACCAAAAACAATCTTTTCCTGCCCAAATTCATGTTCTTCCCTTTCATTTTGTTCGTGCTACCATCCACATCTAGAACTGATGCTCAAATATCCAGCCTCAGCCCCTGACAGGGTCTCTTTCCCCAAAGACATTAAAATCCACTGTACAACTGGAACAATCCAAAACAATCTATAATCATTAAATTAGGTAGGACAGATTATAGCTGACAGGTATTTAAGGAAAGAAATCACTGAGGGCTGCAGGCACACCTTTATGAAGATAGCACTTAAAATGGGTGCTTTGATAGACAGTATTTGAACTGGCAGCAGTAAAAGCCGAAACTCATGCTAAGGAACCGATTAACATCCCACCTAATCCTCTTGCCAGCTGCACCTCCTTCAAGAAGCCTTCCTCAATTGCTTCTCAACTTAACACTCACTCTCCTCTCCTCTCCGTGCTTCTAATACAATTACTACCTCTAATACTCATTCAGGCACCTTGGCTTCCCATATTATAGACTTCATCTCTTCACCTTGAGTACAGGATCGCAGAAGACAGCAATACGTCTCACAGGGTAGGCATTTGGTGTCTGTTCAGTGCAACTTAATTCAGCAGCCACAGTTGCTTACAGTTACTTAAACATCCACTGAGCACAGCACCATTGCTTAACTTACCGGGCATCTCCTTTGGAAAGATTCGTATTTACAGGAGTAAGAATAACCTTGTTTGTGTCCACATCCACCACACATTTGGTATTCAAGTCAATCTCTGCAGACAAAAAACAAGAAAAATAGTCATTTAAAAAGGAATTCAGAAAAGGCATTTGACAAAATTTCAATACTCTTTCATAATGCAAACATTCAATGAAATAAGAATAAAACAAAAAAGAACTTCCTCCACCTGATAAGGCACCAAGAAAAACCCACAGCTAACATCACACTTAACAGCGAAGGGCTGGGTGGCTTCCCACCCTACATCATGAGTGAGACAAGCGTGTCTGCTACCCAATTTCTCCTCACTACTGTACTAGAAATTCTAGTCAGGGCAGTTAGGCCAGAAAAATTAACAACAGGCATCCACACTGGAAAGGAAGAAGTAAATCCTAAAACAGAGAAAATCCTAAGGAATCCACTAAAAATCTGAAAATAAACAAGTTATGCAGAATACAAGAATAATATACAAATATCAGTTGTGCTGCTATATACCAGCAATGAAAAATCTGAAAATGAAATTAAGTAAACAATTTCATTTATAATAGCACCAAGAATACCAAATACTTAGGAATAAATGTAAAAGAAATGCAAGGCTTGTACACTGAAAATTCTGAAACATTGAAAGAAATTAAAGACTTCTGAGGTATAGCCCAATTAACCTGATTTAATCATTATACACACTGTATACATGTACCAAAACATCACATGTGGCCGGGTGCAGTGCCTCACACCTGTAATCCCAGCACTATGAGAGGCCAAGGTGGATGGATCATTTGAGGTCAGGAGTTCCAGACCTGACTGGCCAACATGGTGAAACCCACTTTCTACTGAAAATACAAAAATCAGCTGGGAGTGGTGGTGGGCGCCTGTAATACCAGCTACTCAGGAGGCTGAGGCAGGAGAATCACTTGAACCCAGGAGGCACAGGTTGCAGTAAGTTGAGATCATGCTACTGCACTCCAGCCTGGGAGATGAGTGAAACCTTGTCTCAAAAAAAAAAAAAAAAAAAAAAGAAAAAAGAAAAGAAAAGAAAAGAATGACTAGTATCACATGTACCCCCAAAATACATACAACTATGACATATCAGTTTAAAAAAAAAAAAAAAGTTAAAAAAAATTGAAGACTTAAATAAACTAGAAGATATTGCACGTTCATGAACTGAAAGAAAATACTGTTAAGATGCCAATACTCTGCAAATAGATCCACAAGATTCAAGGCAACCTTATCAAAATCTCAACTAGCTTTTTTACGAAAATCAACAAATCAAGGTCTTACAATCCATATGGAAAAGCAAAAGATTCAGAATAGTTGAAAATCCTGAAAAAGAGGGCATAACTCTCCAATTTCAAAACTTACTACAAAGCCACAGTAATCAAGACAGTGTGGTACTTATATAAGGAAAGACGTATATAAATCAACAGAATAGAATTCAGAGTTCAGAAATATGTACTGTCACATTTATGGTCAATTGATTTTGACAAGGGTGCCAAGACAGCCCACTGGAGAAAGAATCGTCTTTTCAACAAATGGTAGCGAGACACTGGATATCCACATGCAAAAGAATGAAGTTGGATCCCTACCTCATACCACATTCAAAACTCCAAACAGATCAAAGAACTAAATATAAGAACTAAAGCCATAAAGTTATTAGAAGAATACATAAGTATACATCCACATGGCTTTGGGTTAGGAAATGAACACCCAAAACACAGACAACAACAAGATGAACTGGACTAATTAAAAACTCTGGCGCCAGACATGGTGGCTCATGCCTGTAATTCCAGAACTTTGGGAGGCTGAGATGGGAAGATCACTTAAGTCTAGGAATTCCAGACCAGCCTAGGCAATACAGTGAGATCCCCATCTCTAAAAACAAACAAAAAAATTAGCCAGGTATGGTGGTACATGCCTATAGTTCCAACTACTGGGGAGGCTCAGGTAGGAGGATTCTTTGAGCCCAGGAGTTCAAAGTTGTAGTGAGCTATGATTATACCACTGCACTACAGCCTGGGTGAAAAAGATCCTGTCTATAAAAACAACAACAAAGGCCGGGCGCGGTGGCTCAAGCCTGTAAACCCAGCACTTTGGGAGGCCGAGGCGGGTGGATCACAAGGTCGAGAGATCAAGACCATCCTGGTCAACACGGTGAAACCCCGTCTCTACTAAAAATACAAAACATTAGCTGGGCATGGTGGCGCGTGCCTGTAATCCCAGCTACTCAGGAGGCTGAGGCAGGAGAATTGCCTGAACCCAGGAGGCGGAGGTTGCGGTGAGCCGAGATCGCGCCATTGCACTCCAGCCTGGGTAACAAGAGTGAAACTCCGTCTCAAAAAAAAAAAAAAAACAACAACAAAAAATTTTTTATTAAAAACTTGTGTGCTTCAAAGGACATCATCAACAGTGGAAAAGAGAATCAAAAAAGTATTTGCAAATCATATATCGAATAAGGAACTTGCATCACAATATATAAAGAACCCTTACAACTCAATAATAAAAACACAAATAGGCCGGGTGCAATGGCTCACGCATGTAATCCCAACACTTTGAGAGGCCAAGTTGGGAACATTGTTTCAGCACAGGAGTTTGAGACCAATCTAAGCAACACAGAGACCCTGCCTCTACAAAAAAAAAATTAATAACCAGGCATGGTGGTGGGAGCCCATGGTCCCAGCTACTCAGGAGGTTGAGGAGGGAGGATGGCTTGGGGCAGAGAGGTCAAGGCTGTAGTCAGCTGTGATGGCATCCTGCACTCCAGCCTAGGTAACAGAGTAAGACCCTGTCTAAAAAAAAAAAAAAAAAAAAAAGACAATCAAATTTTTAAATAGGCAAAGGAAGTGAATATATATCTTTCCGAAACAGATACAAAAATGGCCAATGAGCACAAGAAAAGATGTTCTGTATCATTCAACATTGGAACGCAAATGAAAACCACAATGAAATACCACCTCGCACCCACTGGGATAATTATTATCAAAAAGACAGATCATCACAAGGGTTGGCAAGGATGTGGAGTAATTAGAACCCTCACACATTACTGCTGAGAATGTAAAATGGTGCAGTCGCTTCAGAAAACAGTCCAGCAGCTCCTCAAAAAGTTAAACAGCATTACCATCTGAGCTAGCAATTTCACTCCTAGATACCTATCCCAGAGAACACAAAACTTGTACGCAAATATTCACAGCACCATTATTTGGATACTCGTTACAGCCAAAAAGTGCACAAAACTCAAACGTCCATCAACTGACAAATGGGTAAATGTGATATAACCCTAATGCAGAAGACTACTGAGCAATGAAAAGGAATGAAGAACTGTATCAATCCATTTTCACAATGCGATAACGACATACCAGAGACTGGCAATTTACAAAAGAAAGAGGTTTAATGGACTCAGAGTTCCACGTGGCTGGAGAGGCCTCACAATCATGACAGAAAGCAAAAGTCAGACCTCATATGGAAGAGAAGAGAAGGAGAGTCAAGTGAAAGGGTTTTCCCCTTATAAAACCAGCAGCTCTTGTGAGACTTACTTACTACCATGAGAACAGTACGGGAGAAACTGACTCCATGATTCAATCATCTCCCACTGGGTCCCTCCCACAACACAAGGGAATTATGGGAGCTGTAATTCGAGATGGGTTTTGGGTGGGGACACAGCCAAACTATATCAAAAACTGATACAAGCTATACAGTGAATGAAGCTAACACTAAGCGAAAAAAGCCAGTCATCAAAAAACATACATTGTATGATTCCACACCTATTGAAATATCCAGAACAGGGATATCTATAGAGACAAAATAAATTAGTGTTGTGTAAGGCCAAGGAGTGACTGCTAACAGGTACAGTTTTCTTTCAGGGGTGATGAAAATGTTCTGAAATTGACTGTGCTGATGGCTGTACACTGTGAGCATACTGAAAACACTGAATTGGTTGACTTGTTTGGGGAGTGAATTCTGTCTACATACAGCTGTTTTTAAAAAGCATAGTCCATGGCTTGTTTATGTTCTCATATGTTTATATTCTTATATTTTTCTGACCCAAAGTATGAAGCTGTTTCTGTTTGTCTTATCTCCACTATAAAAAGATAAGCTCTTCTGAGCACGGTGGCTCATGCCTGTAATCCCATCATTGTGGGAGGCCAAGACGGGTAGATCACTTGAGGTCAGGAGTTTGGGACCAGCTTGGCCAAAATGGTGAAACTCCATCTCTACTAAAAATACAAAAAATTAGCCAGGCGTGGTGGCACAGGCCTGTAGTCCCAGCTACTCAGGAGGCTGAGGCAGGAGGATCACTTGAACCCGGGAGGCAGAGGTTGCAGTGAGCAAAGATGATGCCACTACACTCCAGCCTGGGCGACAGAGTGTGATTCTGTCTTTAAAAAAAAAAAAAAAAAAAAAAAAAAAGGTCTAAAGGAAGGAAAAATACCATGTCAGAGTTATTCTTTATTTCCTAAAGAACCTTGGCCAAATGTCCATGTCATATTTATTAAGAGTGTTTCCACTGTCAAGAAATGTTATTGTTTTTTTCACTTTAACTCATATAATTAAGCCAAATGCAAAAAAGCAAAACAAAACAAAAACTTCCTGCCCTGTGCTGGCCAAAACTTAACTCTTCTCACATCAGTTATTTTACATTTATTCTTAAATATGTAATCAAGAAGTACTAAGTAGCTAGTGGTCTTTCTTTTGGCCAATACATTTTTCAAGCAAATGGCAAAGAGAATCAAAAGGAAAGCTTTAGAGCTACATAACACAAAAAAGACCCATCTGTTCTATTGTGGTCAACTAGCATTAAAGTCTATTTCTAATGTTTTGTGTTTAAATCCACTCTAGACTATCACAGAAATGCTACAAGAAAGTCTGAGCCACATTTTTCAAACATGCAATTTTACCTCTTCACTTCCTTAGGCCCTGAGGTCCAAGAGTTTCTTAAAACCACTGCTTAATGCAATCAGACTGTATTGTATCGGCTGGCTCCTCATGGTCAAATCTATATCACACACAAGCACATTATTAAATCCTGGGAAATCTACTGTGACTCACCACCCACCACAAAGTTAGTCATTAGTTTGCAAGAACATTTGGTCCGTGCAGAAGAACTGCAAGTGTAGTTCTCATACAGAACACATCTAGAATGCAGGCCTGAAAAAAATGGCTGCTTAATCAAACATTTCCCCCACAATAGTGCAGTTCCTTCATTTCAAATTATTTTGAATTAAGAAGGAAGCCAGGCCGGGCACGGTGGCTCACGCCTGTAATCCCAACACTTTGGGAGGCCGAGGCGGGTGGATCACGAGGTCAAGAGATTCAGACTATCCTGGTCAACATGGTGAAACCCCGTCTCTACTAAAACTACAAAAAATTAGCTGGGCATGGTGGCGCGTGCCTGTAGTCCCAGCTACTCAGGAGGCTGAGGCAGGAGAATTGCCTGAACCCAGGAGGCGGACGTTGCGGTGAGCCGAGATCTCGCCATTGCACTCCAGCCTGGGTAACAAGAGCGAAACTCCGTCTCAAAAAAAAAAAAAAAAAAAAAGGAAGCCAAATGCTGTCCTTCGGTATTCACATTTCCTTCCTCTCAACTGCTTCTCCCTCTGCCACCCCCTACCATGCATGTCATCAGATAAAACAAACAAGTTGGAAGAATTAAAGGGTATGATTAAGTAACCAACCCCTGATAAATCTAATATAATACAATATAATACAACCCAATATAATACAAAAAAATCATTTCGTAACTAATACATCAAACCTAAACTCATTTTATCATAGAGACAGCAACTTACAAATGTCACTTACGTCTAACACCCATCAAAGATGGCCTTTAATATGTAAACAACTATCTTCACTATTTCACTCAATCTTTTTTGTCAAATAAAATTCCCACTCCAACCCTGTTGATTGTAGGCTATTAAGAGAAGGCTTTTCAAAAGACTGTTGAGAATACGTATACAAGCAGAACATCTAGGACACACACCCAAACAAATAAACGCAGTGAGATTCGAAGCAAGTTTAAGGGTCAGATATATGAAAAGCATTTTAATATGAAATACATTTTAATATAAAATGCTATCGTTAGTGTACCATCAAATGTTACTAGTCGGTTGAATTAAACTGTATTACTACAGATTTTAAATATGACACATTCGCCACTGAAAACTTCTTGCTGATAAAGTGCTTAGCAAGCAAAGCACTGGCATAGGCAACATGGTGAAACCACGACCCTACAAAAAAAACACAATAATTAGCCGGGCGTGGTGGTGGATGCTTGTAACCCCAGCTACTTGGGAGGCTGAGACAAGAGAATCACTTGAACCCAGAGGCAGAGGTTGCAGTGAGCCAAGATCATGACGCTACACTCCAGCCTGGGTGACAGAGGTAGTCCCTGACCGGGGGTAAAAAAAAAAAAAAAAAAGGGAATGCAAAGCAGTGACTAAATAGCAGTTACAAATTTAAGCCTTAAATTTAGTCTGGAAAAACAAAAAACACCTACTAAAAATCCAAAAGATAAACACCTTTCTTTGGTTTGGAATACTACTCAATTAAGAAGAGCCTAGCTGCTATCCACTGCCTTTGTAAAAACAGCACTAAAGTGTACCCGTGTTCACAGCAGCATTATTACAATAGCTAAAATGTAGAAGCAATCAAGCACCCATCAACAAATCAACAAATAAAGAAAATGTATATGCATACAATGGCACAGCAGTCAGCCTTAAAAAGGAAGGAAATTCTGACGTACCATACATGAATGAACCTTGAAGACATCATGCTAAGTGAAATAAGCAAGTCACAAAAGGACTATGATTCCACTTACATGAGGTACCTAGAGTAGTCAAATTCAGAGACACAATGTAGAATCAGTTACCAGGGGTTGGGGAAAAATGGGAAAGGAGAGCTGTTAATTAATGGAGATGGAGTTTCAGTTTTACCAGATGAAAAAAGTTCTGTGACTAGATGGTGGTGACGGTGATACAGCAATGTGAAATGTACTCAATGCTACTGAACTGTGCACTTCAAAGGCTAAAATAGTAAACAGTATATTGTATTTCACAATAAAAAATGTAGAACTCGCCGGGCGCGGTGGCTCAAGCCTGTAATCCCAGCACTTTGGGAGGCCGAGGCGGGTGGATCACGAGGTCAAGAGATCGAGACCATCCTGGTCAACATGGTGAAACCCCGTCTCTACTAAAAATACAAAAAATTAGCTGGGCATGGTGGTGCATGCCTGTAATCCCAGCTACTCAGGAGGCTGAGGCAGGAGAATTGCCTGAACCCGGGAGGCGGAGGTTGCGGTGAGCCGAGATCACGCCATTGCACTCCAGCCTGGGTAACATGAGTGAAACTCCGTCTCAAAAAAAAAAAAATAAATAAAAAAAATAAAAGGAAAAAGGGAAGGGAGGGAAAGGGAGGAGAAGAGAGGAGAAGGGAGGGGAGGGGAGGGGAAGCAGAAGAGAAGGGAGGTGGGCAAGGAAGGAAGGGGAGGAAGGAAAGAAAGGAACAAATTAATTTATTCCACCAACATTAACAATCCCGTATTATTTCCCAAACAAGATTCCTTTCCAGGGCAAATTGCCCACAAGGAATATTAAAATATCAACAGTTGACAACTCCGTTTATTCAGCCAGCATATTAGTCACCTTGTAAAAGTGAACAATAATTTAAAACAAGTCTTTCTTCGATGTACACATCAGCTGTGGCTCGCACCCCAATGACATCATAGTAAAATATGGGCAGGGCCTGGGAGACTCTCTTTACATAACTCATGTTCCATCTGGGGAAATGCATCATTCTCAGTCTGAACAAAATAATTCTGAGTTGCCTACTGAGTAATCTGCTTTTCTAACTCTCCAGAAAATTATTAATAATTTCCAAACCAAATCTACTATCCAGAAACACAGGTGTACCTCCCTTTACCTACCAGTCGTGTTCCTAAATATCCAACTATAGCTTACTCTTAAATTCACTTGGGTTCATTTTATAAAGGTAGATAACAAATTATTTGTAAGATTTACTTATTCAACTGCAAACTTTTCATGACATTTATGATCCTATTTTCAACCAATTAGTGTCACATACCCAATACCGTTCCACGTCTACTCATGTTCATAAATAAAATATTCACCAATGATATTTATGCAGGAAGGACTTGTTTTCCCAGTTGGAATGTAATATTTAATGGCATAGCAGGGAACACTACTTCTACTACTTTGTTCTAGTTATAAGTTACATGGGACCCCCTTTTATATCGAGATCTGCTGACCCTGAGAGAAAAAAAAATTACATGATACCATATAAGTAAAAAGTAAACTGAAAATCTTTTGTTTTCTAAAAAGAGATATGTAAACTATCCTAATCACTACTTTTATATTGTTACTAGTAAACATGAAAATGTATTTGATAAATAAAAGATGAAAATACAACTGAACTCCAACATGGCTGAAGTAAGACTGAGATGCCAGGTTAGGAGAGGAGACGTTGATAGTGTGGAAATAATTAAAATAATCCCCCAGCTACTTGGGAGTCTGAAGCAGGAGGATCACTTGAGGCCAAGAATTAAAAACTAGCCTGAGCCACACAGCAAGAACCTGTCCCTAAAAAAAAAAAAAAAAAAAAAATTAGCGAGGTATAATGGCATGCACCTGTAGCCAGCTTCTCAGGAGGCCGAGATGGAAGGATCATTTGAGCCCAAGAGTTAGAGGCTGTGATGAGCTATGATTGTGCTATTGCACTCCAGCATGGGCAACAGAGCAAGACCCCGTATCTAAACACATATAAAATAATCCTATGTGACCAAAAACATAAAATGTTCATACTTGGCCAGGCGCAGTGCCTCACACCTGTAATCTCAGCACTTTGGGAGGCTGAGGCGGGCAGATCACAAGGTCAGGAGTTCGAGACCAGCCTAGTCAAGATGGTGAAACCCTGTCTCTACTAAAAATATAAATTTAGCTGAGTGCAGTGGCAGGTGCCTGTAATCCCAGTTACATGGGAGGCTGAGGCAGGAGAATGGCTTGAACCCAGGAGGCGGAGGTTGCAGTGGGCTGAGATCGCGCCACCGCACTCTAGCCTGGGCAACAGAGCAAGACTCCATCTAAAAAAAAAAAGTTCATACTCAAGAAATGAATCAGCAAGAAACAAATCAGTGCAGTGGTAATCCTAGCACTTTGGGAGGCTGAGGTGGGAAGACAGCCTCAGCCCAGGAGTTCAGGGCTGTAGTGAGCTATGATCGCACCACTGCACTTCAGTCTGGGCAACAGAATGAGACTCCCATCTCTAAATAAATAAACAAACAGTTTAAAAAAGAAACCAGACAACCTCAGAAGACTAACAAACAGTATTTTAAAAAATCACAAGGCACCTGGCCAACATGGTGAAACCCATCTATACTAAAAATACAAAATTAGCCAGGCGCGGTGGCAGGTGCCTGTAATCCCAGCTACTCAGGAGGCTGAGGTGGGACAATCTCTTGAAACCAGGAGGTGGAGGCTGCAGTAAGCCAAGATTACAACACTGCACTCCAGTCTGGGTGACAAGAACAAGACCGTCAAACAAAACAAAACAAAACTCATAAGGCAGAACTAGAATAGCCAAACAATCTTAAAAAATAAAAAGTCAGAGGACTTGACTCCCAGCTTTCAAAGCTTACTGCAAAGCTAAAGTAATCAGGACAGTATGGTGCTTACACAAGGAAAGACACATATAAATTGATGGAATGGAATTCAGAGTCTAGAAACATACTATCACAGTTATGGTCAATTGATTTTGACAAGGGTACCAAGACAATGTAATGGAGAAAGAATGGTCTTTTCATCAAATGATGCTGGAACAACTGGATATCCACATGCAAAAGAATGAAGCTGGATCCCTACCTCACACAACATTCAAAACTCCAACTGGATCAAAGACTTAAATGTAAGAGCTAAACCTATCAAACTCTTAGAAGAAAACAAATGAAAATCCGCACGACATTAGATAATGGTTTCTCAGAAATCACAGCAAAATCACAAGCAACAACTAAAAATAAACTGGACTTCATCAAAATTTAAAACTTGCATGCATCAAAGGACACAAGGGAGTGAAAAGGCAACCGAGAAAATCAAGAAAATATTTGCAAATCATCTATATGACAACAGAATGTTATCCAGAATATACGAAGAAGTCTATCAACTCAGTAATAAAAAGACAAGAAACC